GCTATAACGAAGATTCTTATAACGAAGTCCTGATCGGCTGGAGCGGCAACTTCGTTATATCGAGGTGTGACTGTAGTCTGTTTTGATATTTTGGCACGCTGTAGAGATAATACAGTATATTTTAACTAGTTAGAAAGAGTCCTAGACCATCCTGATGCATCAGGAGTAATTATGACATATCTTTTTAATTGTGATATATTTAATTGGAATTTGGGAGAAATCCCTTTTATAAAAATAAAAGTAGATACAATGTGTGATCAGCTTTCTAGTTCCATTCGATTTATAATTTACCATATTTCCTCATAGAGTGAGGATTAAGTAGCCAAGCCAAGTTATACATCATTATACCAGAACTATGCTGAATAGTGTGAAGGGAATGGTGAAAAGCTATTTTCTAATAACATTCTTGACAAAAAATTCTCACAAATTAATATTGAACGCAAGAGGGAAAGTAGTAGAAAAAGAGAATAGCAGTACATTCTTGATCACCCTAAAATTATAACTAAGCTTCTAGGCGATATGGAAGAATTTTCTGATATACCTCAACCTGACTTATCTGAAAATGAGACTACAGACATACCTATATTTAATATATCAGAAATTATTATCCCAAAAATAATTCTGTCTCAGCCAGAAAAGTGTATGTCTTTATCTAGTACTAGTAAAGATAAGAAGACTAGTAATCAGGACAATTTGACTCAGGCTCTTTTTGATTATGTAACAGTAGAAGTTGCACTTCCAGTTACTTTGTCATCTAAGACAGCTGAAATATCTAAAGTAATCGATCCCAAACCTGAATTCATAGTTGCAGAACCTGAACCTGATTCATTTATAATCAATAAGTCTATCAAATCTGAAAGTAATAATTTTATGAAACTTATAGTTGAAAAAAATGGTAGACAATAGCGAAAAAATCATCTCATAATGAAGACCCTTTAACTATTACAGAAAAAGATGTTAACTTATCTCGGAAGTATTGAGACAGGATGATGGCAGATACAGAAGTTATCAAATTTTCTAGAGAAAATAAGATAGACTTGAACGATTTATTTTACATGATGAGGAGGGGAAGGTTAATAAGCAAAAAAATATATCTTCAAGAGTTTGAGGAAGTAGGAAAATCCCAGAAGTATATTTATGATGATAAGAAATGCCAAAAAATATAAGCATATTTCAGGAGAATGGTATGCTATAGTAATAAATCGAGCAGTTTATTTAGTATATGGATAAAATATTATTCGTAAGTTAGAATGAAATATCACTAATTATCAACAACTTCTGATCAGACTTAATTTAATCTCCTATTTGAGTTTTTGCAAGAGCTAATAGCCTGCACCTCAATTTTCTATATTGATCTGCATTACTATATGGGAGGTTTGCTAGGAAAATGGGGCTCTTAGACTAAAAAATTTTTTTGAATAAATTAAAAAATCAAAATAAACAAAAAACTAGCTTTAAATTTGAGGCGATCTATT